CCACCCTGGGCCCAGCCTCTGTGACTTCCTCTTCACAAGTCTTCCTGTCTCCACTCCTGCCACCCAAGCTCAACACCGCAGCAAGAGTGACTTTTAAATGTGAATCTGGTCATGCCACGATCCTTCCTCAAGCACTTCAATAACTTCCTCTTCCTCTTAGAATCAAACCCAAAGGCCTTGCTGAGATCTGCATAACCCTGCACCTGTTTGCATGGTGATCTTCATTTACTTTCTACAAACTGCCATGGCTTTTGTAATGAGGCCACCCTCCACCTGGAACAGGTCTCCCCGGGAACTCTCCTGGCTGGCTGCTTCTCATCCATGAAATCTCAGCTTTCACATGCCTCCTCAGGGCGGGCGACTTCCACCATCCATCTTCCCCGTTACAATGCAGATCTCTCCCATTCTTCTGTCCAACTGAGCTTTTCATGGTTACAGAAATGTCTATTTCAGTGCTGTCCAATATGGTAGCCCCTACTGTATGTGGCTGCGGAGCACCTGAAATGTGACCTGAAGTTTTAAATTATACTTAACACCAATTAATTTAAATGTAAGTGACCACATGTGGCCAGTAGCTTCTATATCAGACAGTGTCGCTCTAAATGGTAAGTTCAAGAGGGCAGAGACTGTTTTGTCTCACTCAGTTGCTTATCCAGGGTCAGGCATGGTGCCTGGTCAGAAGTGGGGCTCAGGGGGAGCTGACCATTGGGTTTCTGCTGTAGGCTGAGAATCCACCCCTAAAAGAAGGTGCAGTTCAAACTCCTGACCACAAGGTGGCTCTAGGATGTCTGGGGGTGGGGGGACTTGGGCATTCTGGAGAGGAAACTTGTGGAGGGATCCACTTGCTCATTCCTTGGTCTCTTGTGTCTCTTGTCTTCTTAGTCCTGGAACTTCAAAATCTGCCACCAAATGGAATCCAGTGTTATAGCTGTGAGGGCAACAGCACCCATGGATGTTCCGCCACAGAGACTTCCCTTATCGACTGCCGTGGCCCCATGGATCACTGTCTGGAAGCCATAGGCACCAATGGTGAGGCCCTCTGGAAAGCTGGGAGGGGACACTTACTGGGGGTGAGAAGGATCTGAAGGAGGATGGCTTCCGGTTGAACTTAACCAAGGGGGATCTTCCTGTGGAAAAGGCGGGACTTCCTTCAGGAGGGTCCAATTGTAGTAAGGAGTTAGGACTGGTCCATTAGGAAATGGACGGATGGGACTTCCTGTAGGTGTGGGGGACTTCCTGTGGGTGTGGGGGACTTCCTGTGGACATCTGACATCCTGAGAAGGTGTTCTATTCCAATGGATAACATTTGAAGACAAAACTTTTTTTTTTTTTGTATCAATACTGAACCCACTGAGCCACATCCCCAGCTCTTTTTATTTTTTATTTTGAGACAAGATAAGTGGCATAGGGCCTTGCTAAGTTGCTGTGGCTGGCTTTGAACTCGAGATTCTCCTGCCTCAGCCTCCTGAGCCCCTGGGATGACAGGAGGGTGCCACCATGCCAGGCAGAAACATTTTGGCTTCAAAACTCCTTCACCTCTCAAAAATTGTTATGACAGTTATATCTGTAGATGTGTCCTAACTAGAAATCAAAACAAAAACTAAAGGTTTATTAATAAATTTATAACATGATTTATATTTACTTAGTAACAGAAAAACTCTATATTATACATTAACATAAGTAATATTTTTTAAAATGAAAAATGACTATGTTTTCCAAAACAAAAAAATGAAAGCTGGACACGGTGACACACACCTGAAATCCCAGTGACTCTGGAGACTTAGGCAGGAGGATCTCAAGTTCAAGGCCAATCTCATCAATTTAGTAAAACTTTGTCTTAAAATAAAAAATAAAGGGGCTGGGGATGTGGCTCAAGCGGTGGCATGCTCGTCTGGCATGCGTGCGGCCCGGGTTTGATCCTCAACACCACATACCAACAAAGATGTTGTGTCTGCCGAGAACTAAAAAATAAATATTAAAAATTTTCTCTTTAAATAAAATAAAATAAAATAAAATAAAAAGGTCTGGGGATGTAGCTCAGTGTTAGAGGACCTTGGGGCTCAATCCCAGTATTAAAAAATAAGTATTAAAAAAAAAACAAGTAATGGGAAGACTGGCATTGTTTCACTGTCTCTTTAAAGTCTGGCTTAATAGAAGACAGCTGTATTCTCATTTCTGCTTCTACATCAGTTTCTCGAAATATCACATGTCCTGGAGTTTCTGGAAAACTCCACTGTGTACTTGAGATTGAAAAAGCCCAATTTAGCATTATTTTGAGAATAATTTTGACTTCACAGACTCCTGGATTGGTTCCGAGGAACCACCAGGGGTCCCTGGACCACACTTTGAGAATGACGGCTTTGCCCGGGTGGCAGAGGACGTGGCCCCCACTGCAGGCGGTACATGGCCCATCTGAGAATTCCAGGCCCAGGCCCGAGAGCTGGGAGTCTCACTCGGTCTTCTCTTTCCTCAGGGCTGGAGAGCCAGAGCTACACCGTAAGAGGCTGTGCGACAGCCTCCTGGTGCCATGGCTCCCACGTGGCGGACACCTTCAGCCTGACCCGTCTCAATGTCTCGTGCTGTTCTAAAAGTGGCTGTAACCACCCGGTCCAAGATGGCCAGTACCGCAGAAGTGGTGCCCCCGGCCAGCCTGGCCCTGCGCACCTCAGCCTCACCATCACTCTGCTTGCGACCATAAGGCTATGGGGAGGCGTTCTTCTCTGGACCTGAACCCCAAGCCCCCACCCTGGCTGGACCCGGGGTAGCACTCTACCCTTACCTCAGCTCTCGTCCCGCAGACTTGGGTGCCAGTGTCCTCTCTGGGACTCAGCTTTCCCAGCTCCAAAGACCTAGCTCACTCAGTGTTCCTGAGAACCAGGGAAAGAAGTTGGGGAAAACTATAGGTCAGTGCGGGACACTCTTGGTTTTATTAATATTTTTGTCATTGTTATTGTGTTATTATCCATTAATGTTCATATTATTTATTTTATATGTAAATAAATTTTTTTAATAGTGAACCAAGCCAGGTCTGCTCTTCTCTTTAAGATTCGTCTTTGGGAGGATGAATGCTGGGTTCGTGGGGCAGCGGGACAGGGTCTGCCGACTCCTGAAATTAGAGGTCAGGTTGTGGACAAGCAGCCCCACAGACACAATATGGAGAAGAGCCAGGAACCCTAGCTGTGTTGTTTCCCAGAGCTTCTGTGACACATTGCTACATACTCACAAAGTTGGTGGCTTAAAATGACAGAAACTTACCCTCTCACAGTTCCAATGCTAGCAATACAAAACCAAGGTATTGGCAGAGCCATCCTCCCCCAAAGTATTTAAATCCAAGGACACTTCACCACTGAGATAAATCCTCAGCCCTTTTTTATTTTATTTCATTTTAAATATTTTTTCGACGTTGATGGACCTTTATTTTATTCATTTATTTATCTGCGGTACTGAGAATCGAACCTAGTGCCTCACACATGCTAGGCAAGCACTCTACCACTGAGCCACAACCCCAGCCCTATTTTATTTTTTACATTTGAAACAGGGTCTTGTTCAATTGCCAAGGCTGGCCTTGAACTTGTGATCCTCCTGCTTCAGCCTCTGGAATAGTGAGGATTATAGGCATGCATCACTGTGCCCATTCTCTCTTTAAAAGAACAACCATCATTGGATTTAGGACCCAACCTAGTCCAATATTGATTAATTTAATCATTACCGTAGTCATATTGGCAAAGACTATTTCCAAATAAATTCACATACATAGTTACACCGGTTAGGACCTCAGTATATATTTGGGGGCGGGGCACAGTTCAACATCCACAGCATCAACCAACAGCTAAAACCAAGGCCTCAAATACAAGACCCCAGATGAACATCCCAGCCATCTCCAACTATTTAAGCCAGAACTTTTGGCTCCTAGCTATTGTGAAGCAGACACACACCAATCCTGCCCAAATTCCTGACCCACAGAATCATAGAATAGAAATGTTGTAGTTTATACCACTAAGTTTTGGTGGGTTTTGGTGAGATAGCAATGGCTGAGACAGTCATATTTAAAACTGTCACCGTGGACAAAGACTTTTATTTACTCACTACTGTATTTCTAGTGCCCAGAATATATTTGGAACATCACAGATGAAGAAGAAGGAAAAGAAGGAGAGACTACATCTTGGATGATGTCTTCCAACAAAAACTGAGCCAGGATTTCATTTCTCATGATGCTGGTGTTAGTCAGCTTTGGTCACTGTGACTCAAAATACCCAAAAAAACAACTTAGAGAAGGAAAAGTATATATACATTTTCAGTATTTTTTAAAATTGTAGATGGACACAATACCTTTATTTTATTTATTTATTTTTATATGGTGCTGAGGATCGAACCCAATGCCTCACATGGGATAGGCAAGTGCTCTACCACTGAGCTACAGCCCCAGCCCAGAAAAAAGATATTTTGGCTCATGGTTTCAGAAATTAAGTCCATGGTCAGCCAACTCCATTTCTCTAGGACTGAGGGGGGACAGAACATCATGGAAGGAGGGCATGGCATAGGAAAGCTGTCAAGTCATGGCAACCAGGAAGCAGAGAGAGAGAGAGAGAGAGAGAGAGAGAGAGAGAGAGAGAGAGAGAGGAGGAGGTGCCAGGACAAAATATAAATCCCAAAGGCACACCCCAGTGACCTACTTCCACCAGCCACACCCTACCTGCCTGCAGTTAACCAGTACGGTAGTATCTTCAAAACATTAATCCATCAAATGCATGAGTCCACTGATTAGGTCACAGCTTCCATAGCAAATCCTTTCACTTCTGATCATTGCTACATTGTCTCCTGAGGTTTGGGGAACACCTCATAGTCAAGCCATAACAATGCTCTACAGCAGAGAGAGAGAGGATGACGTTTCCAGAGATGCTCCATATCTAAAACTGAAGATAATTTCATCTTCCCCATGATATCCTACAACAGATATTGAAGCTAGGAATACATCTCTCACGAGCTTTCAGAGAGGCTCAGAGGATAAAAATGCATGTCCCATGATGCCCTCCAACAGACATTGAGGGAAAGGTCAACATTCTCCTAAGTCCTATACCATATTTCTGTGATCAAGACCTTGTAGTAGCCGGGTGTGATGCTGCATGCCCACCTGTGATCCAAGCTTCTTGGAAGGTTGAAGATTGATCAAAAGTTCAAGGCCAGCCTGGGCAACTTAGTGAGACCCTGTCTCTTTTTAAAATCTTTAAAAAGAGAGCTGGGGATGTGGCTCAGTAATAGAGCAATTGTCTGTCATGCACAAGGCCCTGGGTTTGAGCTCTAGTACTGGGAGGGGGAAGAATAGCCCTCATTGTTACTGGCCTCTGAGTTTTTGTTCAAGGATCTTTGGTTGCAAAGAAATAAAATGTGTTTATGCTGATTTAAGCAAAAGTGACATTATCAGAAGTTTAGAAGCCATGTAAGACCTAGGTCTCCTGGCCTTATCCAGGACAGGAAACAGAACTGAAAGGTTATGTAAGATCAAAATTGTCTCCCTCTTTCAGAATCGATCTCTCTCCTCTCCCCACATCTCCACCCCTTTCCTTCATTATCTCCTGGGCTTCCATTTACTTTTCTGTCTCTACAGACTACTTCTTCTGCTTCATGCGTACTAGACAAATATGCCCACTGACGTGTTAAGTACTGAGAACTACTTGAGTCTTGATTTTGAAATTTTAGCTGAAAGACTAACTGGGTCCAGTTTGGTTCATGGCTCAGCCCATGACCCCCTCTGCTAGGGCTAGGGAAGTTCACATCAAAGCCATCATATGCAGTTGTTCAGGTCAAACACAAGCATCCACTGCTCCTGTCATTCTCATGGTATGCAACCCGGTCGACCAAAGCTGGAAAACAGAACCTGTAAGAGAGATTCTACCACGAGATGGGCCAATGAGACACAATGAAAGTTGGCCAGGGGCTTTTAGAGGACAAAAAGTTTTCAGGGCTTTAGGAGGTTTTAGACAGGGATATGAAGTTCCCCACTGTGCTGAGGGGATTGTTGCTGTTTTTGTTTGTTTGTTTGTTTTGATACTGGGGTTTGTACCTGGGGATGCTTTACCATAGAGCTACATCCCTAGCTCTTTTCTTTCTAATCTTTGGGACATGTCTCAGTTAGTTACTTAGGGCCTCCCTAAGTTGCTGAGGCTGGATTTGAATTCTGCCTCAGCCTCCTGAGTCACCATGAAAGGCTGCTGAGGGAGTTTCTTACAGAGAGAGAGAGAAAGGAGGAAGGGCCAAGGACAAAATATAAATCCCAAAGACATGCCCCCAGTGTTTTCTTCTCTCCCCCTTATTCTTCCCCTTTTATCTCCCTATGTCTAGCTCTTCCCATTTATTTATCTGTCTTTATCTCTTCCCTCTCCCTGTGAATCTGGCCCCAGGGGTGCTTGCCAGTCATAGTGCAATTTGAGGAGAGTCATCCATCCTCAGGACAGAGAGAGGTCCAGGCCATGGGGAAGCCAGTTATACCTGGGACTGTTTGTCAAAGTCCTAACGAACAGAGTTACCCTGAAGTAGGGTGGGGACAAGACTACCACTCTCCTGGTGTCTGAAGATGGGAGAAATGATGGGACCCAAAGATGACAGGTAAGAACCAAACCAATATCTCCCAGGATGCTCCATAGCTACATCAAAAGGTGTCTGTAAGGGACTTGAGCAAGGTGCCTATTGATTCTTCTAAGAAAAGGCAACTCTTACCATCCCCTTACAATGGTTTGGATATAGCTTGAGCATCTCCCAAGGCTTCCTCTGTTGAAATTTAATCTGCATGGAAAGACATTAAAAGAGTGGCAATTTAGCCCAACTAATTTAAAGGTGGTGACTTTGGGGTGATTAGGATTAGATAAAATCATCAGGGTGGAGCCCCCATGACTGAATCCTGCTGGCTTTATAAGAAGAAGGGGAGAAACCAGAAGAGACTTGTGCACTCCTGGTCTCTTGCTACGAGATGCCCTGTGCCACCTGGGGACTCTGCCAGCAAGAGCCATCACCAGATGCGGTCCCTTGATCTTGCCAACGTAAACCTCCTCTCTTTATAACTCACCGGGTCTGTGGCATTGTGTTGTTTGCAACAGAAAGTCAACTAGTGTACCCCTGATCTAGTGACCCAAATGCAGCAGTTCAAACACTTCTCTCCCACCTAGTCCAAGTCACAGAATATGAGCCCTGAAAGAAGGATTAGAGACGACTCAGCGTGAGGACCTCTTCCCCAGTCCACAGTAGTAAACAGGGACTTGAAGAAGCGCTGTGGTCCTAAGGACAGAGAGGATGCTCAGAGCTGGACACTGGACAGAAAGAGTATTGGAAGCTAATTCTGGTGGGCCTGGATGTAGAGTTTTTAAGTAATGATGGAGATAAAGAGCAAGAATTTTCAAAATTGGCATATCGCGACCTCAGTTTACCAGATTATCAGTCGGGCATGCCAGAGGTTAAGAACTCCTATTTTCCATAGTTTCTCACTCTCCCTGAGCCCTATAAGTGACAATCTGCACCAGGTCATCAGGTTACCACGGAAGTGGGTTCAGGGAAACCCACTCCCAGGAGAAGAAGAGACTGAAATCTGCAGAGAGGAGTCCATCTCAAGGATGCTAGGAGAAACGGAAGGGCAGAGAGAACACGAAGACGCTGGGCAGGAAAGAGGTGGACAAGAGAGGGGAGCCGGGATGCCGGGGCCTGGGAGGTGTCCACAGGAGCCTCTCTCTCCCTGGGGCTGAGGACTCAGGCTTCCCTCCTCTGGGTTCGCTTTCAGGGGGCCCCTCGGGGTAACTAGGCGGAAACTCGAGGTTTCGGGGGTCAGGACCGACCCACCGGGTGCCTGAGCCAGTTCCGCTCTGCCCTGGGGGATCCTTGAGCTGCTTAGACCCCTGCAGCCGGCCAGCCTCTCAGCAGACCAGACGCCTTCACCCTCACCTGCCCGCAGGACACCTCTCCAACTCACCTTTTCCGCATCACTTCTCTCCTGCAGTGCTCACACCCACGCTCACCCCTCTCGCCTCTCACACATCCGCACCCCAAACCCCCACCTCACGCAACCCTCCCCGCACCTTAGAACACCCCTCCACAGCGCCCTCCCGCGCGCACCTTTCGCGCGTCGTTCAGCCTCCCTGGCTGTCACTCACGATGTCCCCACCCTCACTCACGTCACCTTTGCACCTTCACACGGCCCCCACGACCTCTCGCCTTCACCCACCGCCCTCACCTGCTCCCGCCACGCTGTCGCGCTCCGGCGTCCCC